AATCAGAGGGAGTGCATGTTTAGAGTGCAGATTGGTAGGGAATTTAGCAAGAATTATTTATTTATATGTTAACTACTGGCTGTTGCTGATGTTGGAAACAAAGTTACATCCTACATATGCTTAATTTTTTTTACACTGCTTTGTCTTCTTTCTATGATCTAATTCTCTATGAGGAGAACGTACACTTATATTATTTAGGAACTAAATTAATTTTCAAACTTCTCCATATGTTATTACAAAGTGCCTTTGCTCTTAAAAGGTTAATTGGGACATTCATGCTGTCACTAGAGGTAAATCAAGCACTTTTCAATATTTCCTTCATTTCTCTAAAATGCAAAACCTGCTATTTAAACAAACACACAATATTTTTGGCAATAGGAAAGAGAAAGCGAGTGGGTTACTAAAAGTATATTTTCAAGAAGATAGAAAAGAGGGTAGAGTGAAAGAGTGGCCAAGTATGACTAAAGTAAATGGGCTATTGTAAAAGTTACCAATAAGAGAAGTGTTATAATTCTCTTAAAACATCCAATTTATCAATTTTAGTGAAACGGAGGAAGTACACTACACCTCTGAGATTAGGCAGAAGTGTAACACAATTCACTATGCACTCCTAGTAATGCTGTATGGAACCTAATGTAGCCACCCCTTTCCTTATGTCATTTTTTTTCTCTTTCTTCATCCTCACACGTATTGCTCCCATATTAGACTAACTTGCTGCAACATTAATCTTTTCCTTCCTACATTTCTACATCAATCTCTTTCTTCCTACATGTCTGTCTTCTCCGCCCCTCTTTTGTGTACGTGTGTGGGTCGGTGGAGGGAGAGTCCAGCATAGTTGTTTATTTTTCAAATATATGAATTAGTGATAGAAGAGAAGGGAATTTTTTTTTGATACTAGGCTGGCTGGTTACTCTTGAAAGTCAAAACCACAGAAGTGCATCAAGCATGTTTGTGAAACTTGATTGAGGAAGTTTGTGTGGATCTTTGTAGTGCTTTACTCATGAGTATCAGACAATAAGCAAGTTACCAACAATTTCAAAGTTCTCTGTGTTTCTGTGGTATTGGGCGCCCAAGGGCCTAGTCTATATTACCAACAGTGATTTCTTTTTCTATGTTGGGTGGTATAGGTGGTTGTAATCTTGGTTTTGGACATCTTTAAACTTATAATTCTCTACTTAATGCTCTTCTCCTCTTTTGTTTGTAGATGGATCTGAAATTGGAAATATTTTCTTTCGGGGATCAATCGAAAATTGTTGGAAGATTGTTGACAGATATGTCGAGCCTTTATGACGTAGGTCGTCGTAAAAGAACGGCTGGCTTGTTGCTGATTGATCGCACCCTTGATCTCCTGACCCCATGTAGCCACACTGATTCATTTTTTGATAGAGTATATTCTGCTTTACCTCGTAGAGAAAAATCACCTTCTACGCATGCAAGAAACTCACAAGGCCAGGCAAAGCCAAATACCCGCGTACATCGTGCACCTCTTGATGTTCGGATACCTCTTGACAATGTTTTCAAAAAAGACTATGGAACTGATAATTTTCATCTACTGCAAAATTTTGAAGCTTTTCTTCATGGGTGGAATTCCAGCAGCACTGATTCAAAGAACCAGGACTTGGTTGACCTAAGCAACAAAATTCAAGATGAGAAGTCCTCTGGCTCCATAGAGTATTTGTTTGATGGATCCTTTATGACTGCAGAAAGTTTCCATGGAACACCCTATTTGGAAGCTGTATTAGGGAGACGAATGAAGGATGGGTCTGTACTTGTTAAGAAGTGGCTACAAGAAACTTTGCGCAAGGAGAATATATCTGTGAACGTGAAAACTCGACCTGGTTCTGCCACAAAGTCAGAGTTGGAACCCATGATAAAAGCGCTGGCTACAACTGACGCATCCTTTCTTAAAAATAAAGGGGTTATCCAGTTGGCTGCTGCTACAGTGGCTGCTTTGGAAGACTTACATTCTGACAAATGGAATGCCTTCATCAGTGCAGAGAAAATGTTGCACGTTTCTGCTGGAGACACAAGTCAAAGCCTTGCTTCTCAAATAGGGGACTTGATCAATAAAAGCTTTTTAACTAGATCTCAAGGTGGAAAATCAACGTCCTCACAAGGATTAATTTCTTTCAAGGATGCATTGCTCCTTACAATAACTGGCTATATTTTGGCGGGTGAAAATTTCCCCTCATCAGGATCTACTAGCCCTTTCTCATGGCAGGAAGAGCATTTAATGAAAGAAGCCATTGTTGATGCAATAATAGAGAACCCAGAATTGTCTGAACTCATATTTATACAGGGTCTTGCTGAAGATCTTGAAGCGTATCGGAGTAAAATCAGTTCAAAGGAATTGAAGGCTACGGAGGAATTGTCCCTTGATGATTTTGATGGTGATGGATGGGGTGAATGGGGTGATGAAGATGCTGATAGTGCTAGTAATAAAGAGCAAGGATATGATGACATGCAGCTCAAACTGGAGTTGCGCGATAGAGTTGATAACCTTTTCAGGTTCTTTTACAAGTTATCTGGTTTAAAGAGTAGGAATGCACCCCTAAGAGATGGTTCTTTTACCTCAGAAGTTCGTTTTGGAGGTGATTCCTTTGAAAATAAAGGTCTTCTATATGAGCTATTATTGAGAGCGCTGGGAAAATATGATGTACCTGGATTAGAGCATCATTCTTCAGCTGTAGGTAGACTTTTTGGAAGATTTGGCCTTGGCCAGGTAAGGAAGATATGGTTTCTAAATGAATACAAGCGTGAATTCTGAATGTTACACACTCATTTAATACCGTTATCTCACTATCTGTGCAGGCAAAACCTAGTCTTGCAGACCAAAACATCATCCTTGTTTATGTTATAGGTGGTACCAACGGCCAAGAGGTCAGTGATTTGAAAATATTTCATTCATGTTGCCTGCAGTCAACCTCTGCAAGTATATTTTCTTGCTTTCAATGTGCTTGTGAATTACGTAGGTCTGCTTTGGTGCCTTTTAAGCTCTACAGTTATTCCTGTTAATTTTGTTTCGATATTTTTACCAAATTAAGAATATGCAAACCTTAAAAGCCATATAGGAACCACTGAAATTATTTCACTTTTGTTTCGAGTGTTTGCTTGAGAGCTGAGAAGTGTGCTATTTTGAAGTGAGATTATTTGACAATTTTGTGTTGAGGGATTATTTTAGTTGCTATTTCCAGGAGACCTGATCATCTTCCTTTACATCTCACCAGGTACATGAAGCTTTTGAGGCACTGTCTGAAAGCGATATGCCAAATATCGAGCTTATAGTTGGTGGCACAACACTTCTTACCCCTGATGACATGTTTGAATTACTGCTAGGAAACTCTAGTTACTTCTAAACTCTGTAGATATTGTTCTGATTCCCCCCAAATCTCAGCGCAGGTTACCTACACATCTGTTGCATATTTTCACATGCATCACCTTTTTTTTTTTTTTTTTTTTTTTTTTGGGGGCGGGGCTTGTAAAATTAAATGTAAGTGATCATTGTATTTTAGGCAATTTTAATCTTCCTTTTGAGAAGGTGCCTTAAATCTTTGTATGCAGCTGCTAATCTTGGTTGCATTTGTCGTCTGGATTTGTCTTATTTTGACCGATGTTTAACCTTAAGTGAAAATTTAACAATATTTTTGCACTTTTAGTCTTATATTATGTTAGTACATACTCCTTTGTATAGTACGATTAACATAACTAAGGCTATTTTAAAACTTATTTACATATTTGCTCTGGCTTAAAACTTATTTATAGATTTGCCGTCCACGTAGGCTCGGAGTGTAGTTTTTTTTTTATAAAAAAATTTAAGTGGTAAACCGCTATCTTGAGTAGTGGATTATAGAGTAAAACCGCTACTCAAGATAGCGGTTTAAACTTATATGTTTTTACACAGCAAAAGAAACTTGAATTTCTCCTTTTACTGCTTTTGTAAAAAAACATATTCCAAAAAAAAAAAAAAAAAAAACAGCGAGCTAGTGTTTGGCAAAGTCCTAACCTGCCGGTCGGCCGATTCAGTAGTTGGCCTCCTTACCATCATGCTTCTCCTGTCAAAGTTCTGGCCACCCTACAATCGATGGTTCTGATGCATAATAATTAACTGACCAAGTCAGATTTGGAGTGGAGACTTGTACTACCTCTGTTTCAAGTTAGTTGCAACTTTGGGCTCGATACGGATTTTAAGACAAAATTTCATAATGGTTGATTAATGAATTAAACAATAGTAAATTAAGGGTAGGAGAGAGAAAGTGAAGATAATTAATAAATTGACCATCACCACCAACAGCCACACCGCAACCATCGCCCAACAGTAGCCACCACAAAACCACCCACTTCATAGCCTAAAACCACCCCTTCTCAGCCCGAACCACCAAGAAACCACCCACACGCAGCCCAAACAGCCCTTAAAGCACCAGATCTTAGCCCGAACAACCCAAAAATAACCACCTCTCAACCCGAAACCACCACCTTCTCATGCGGACCACCTAAAAACCACCCACAAGCACTCCGAACAACCCTAAAACCACCCCAGCAGCCCGAACAACCCCAAAATCACCCCCTCTCAACCCAAACGACATTGAAATCCCCCCATCTCAACTCGAACCACACCGAAACCAACCACTAGGCGAAAATTACTAATCAGCACCGGTTCAAAACCCTCATTTCGCACCAGTTTTGAACCGGTTCTGGTTCAAATCCCAAGACTTTTCGCACCGGTTCAAAACCGGTGCGAAAACTTATTTTTCGCACCGGTTCTTGATGTGAACCGGTGCGAAAAGTCCCCAAAAATATTAAAAAAAACCTTTTAGCACCGGTTCTTGCTTTGAACCGGTGCGCCGGTTTTATTCCAAAACCGGTGCCAAAAATGCTCCAAATATATATATATATATATATATATTTTTTTTTTTTCTTTTTTCTCATTTTTTTCACTTAAATTGGTATATAAACACTAACATATATATAAAGTTACACATTTTCATTAAAAAAGGCTGTAATATTACAATTTTCGTCCAAAAAAAATTAAATAATCTAGACTTATCTCTGAGTACCTTTCTTGCATTTGATTTAACTAGCTGTCCTGGTCTTGTGCTGGTGGCTGCTCTGCTGGCGGTGGGTGTGTTTCCGCTCTGCTGGCTGTGGCTGTTTTGCTTCTGTGGCTGTGCTTTTGCTTTGTTCAGGTTGGCTGGGTGATTGGTTTTGCTTCTGTTCAGGTTGTCTTGTGTTGGTGGCTGCTCGCTGGCTACTGTGTTGTTATGTGTTCAAGAAGACCTGTTGCTCTGCTGTTTCCTGTGCTGCTGTTTCTGTTCTGCTGCGCTGCTGTGCCCCTGTCCTATTCAGGCTGGCTGGGCATCTGTTTGCTTCTGCGGCTGTGTCTATGTTATGTTCAGGCTGGCTGGGTGACTGGTTTGAGTTCTTGAGCTGCTGTGTTTCTGTTCTGCTCTGGTCAGGCTGTGCTGGGTGTTTGCTGCTCTGCTATAGTGCTGTGTTGCTTGCTGGTTTGGCTGCTCTGGGTCAGGCTGCTGGGTTTGCTGGGTTCTGCTGCTACTGCTGCTGCTGCGTGGTTCTCTGTGTTGCGGTACTGGTGAGCTGCTGTGGTGCTGTGCTGGTGAACATGTAGGACAATCTCAAGTAGGATTTAAATATTAGATTTTCAAAGAGATTACTATCATAAACAGTCAAGGTAGGTCAATATATTTATTGTGCATATTAGATTTTTAGAGACAATACTATCACAAACAGTCAAGCTAGGGTCTATATATTGATTGTGTTCCAATTTTACAATCGGCTGCATGCCCATATCACCATTGTAAAGGAATTTGAGAAAACTTATAGCATGGTAGGTGTTTATGAGATAACTAACTGACACATCAAGCTGCAATAGCAGTCAATCATTCGCATTGACTGCAAAAGTGGTTCCGCGATTGTGCCCCCATCCAAGATTATAGAGCATGGAGAGGGGTAATGATCAACTTCTTAGCTCCATAGAAGTGAAAGCAAGTAAAAATCTTTATAGACATTTACAATCATCAATATGAAAGCAAATAAAGAGGGTGATTGCCTTTCTAACCTAACGGAGTAACTACGCTCAGGATTCTCGAGGTGAAACAAATGGGAATATAAACTGACCTTTAATTCTGCCACTTCTTGCTCTCGTTTGGCAAGTGTCACAATAAAGGCAGCTTCTTTCTTCTTTGCTTTTTCTAGCTGGTAAGAAGAAATAACAAATTATTCACCATCCAAAACTAATTATATACAGTAATAACGATAGGAAAGGAAAAAGCACAAACCTGCTCTTTTAGTGACTTGTGTGATGACCTTAAGGTTTGGATATAGTTAACCACCAATTTAGGTTCTGCAGGAACAATAACGAAGATTTTCATATCAACCAGAAATAAAAGCTCCAAGACAGTTAAATGGAAAGAAATACAAAACATTAGAAATACAAAATATAAGCTAAAAATTATAAGACTGACCTGGAGTAGTAGCTGGGGATATAGCAGACTCATCCTGAAATGAAGAATGCTATTTCTGAATTTCAGACTTTGCAGATTCCAGCTCGATCTAAGACAAAGCAGCCAAAACTAATTACTCCTTAACCAACTGTCGATAGTCAACTAGCAAAACTTAAGCAGACAATAATTGAATTTAGTTACTGATTCAAAGTTCTCTTTTAGGTCATCCTTTGTAGATGTAAAAACAATATGACAGAGTGATGACGGGAAGCAATAACACACTACTAGACAAGCATTCCACTAAACAGGTCAATAGGTACTGTTTAAAGCCACAAATTAAAGTATATAATTCTCATCTTCAATATATTGTACTAAGTAAATCACTAGCATTATCATTATACATAATTAATTTAACCAGATCTTTACATATTAGTGAAAATTTATCTCAATGATCACTTAAGTGAACTACAGAATCTAGAGATCCCTCAAAATCTCTTTCCCACAGATGCAATTACTGGTACTGGTCTTAGATCATGTTTTGCTAGTACTAGTACAGTTTTGAGTATTTTCTGTCTTAAAACAGAATTTTTAAGTAACAATTGCACGTCAGCATTTTATTTATGGATTTGCATACTCTTTTATATAGATCTCCGCAAATGATATGCGTGTCGCGTACCTAACAAAAATAAACCTAACGAGACCATTACTATGTAGACGGGCAAGTAAGGATCGAATCCCAAGAGACTAAGGTTCACCTAATTAAATAGACTCAAATAATCACTAAGCAAGTGACAATTCAATGGTGATGAACTTCTAAGAACTAATAATTAAAGAAATCAATTAATCTAAAGAATATAAAGAATCAATGAACTAAAGCATTCAAGATCAAGCATTACCACGAATATAATCAATGCATAAACAATTCTACCCACAATAACAATTCAAACAACAAGAGGAAAAGTATTCCCTATAAAATACCAAAGGTCTATTCCGAGTTATCAATGGCTTCCCAAATCAACTATCAAGCCTACTTCCATCGAATCAAGCGAATAAGGGACATTAAACACCATACTTAACTTCCTAATCATTCAATCAACTATTTCCATGATGATCTTCAAACCCTTAATTGAAATACTCAAATCCCGTTAATATTCAACTTCCATTGCAATAAGAACAAAGGGATGATAACAATACTAATTATTCCTAATCTAGTATTGGCATAAACACAATCAATTAAGCATGTCAATTGGAAATATTATTGGAGAATTTAAAGAATTAACCTAAGCATTAATCATATCCGGGTTTTGCTAGATCCCGGATTATGAATCTACTCACACATACTAACAAAACCTAAAACAATGATTAATGGAGAAAGCATAATTAAAAACAATAATAATTGAAAGAGAAGAGAAAATAGATGAATACCAATGATGCTCCAATTGAAATAACTCAAATTGTTGATGAGCAATAATCAAATCTAATGGAGGAATTAAATTGCATGAAAGAGAGTAAACTAGGATTCTAGAGAGAAAATAATGCTTAAGGAAAATAATAAGTGTTTTCTAATTGTGATTACAAAGGGTATTTATACCCTCATAAAGATAAAAATTCGAGAATAATTAAAACCGGCTCCGCGAAACCATGCCCGGTCCAACCGGGCAAGAGGTGCCCGATCGGGCGCGAGGATCCTCTACAAGAAATTCCTGCTGCCTTCTTCGTCTAAGTGCTAACTTCTTCTACCCTTCGTTGCCTGGTCCAACCGGGAAAAGCATGCCTGACCGGGCACTTAGGATCTACAACAAGTATTCCGTATTTAACTCATCCTTCATTGCCCAGTTGGACCAGGCAAGTTAGGGTTGACAGGGCATGGGGGAAACCTTCTTCTTCATGTGCTAACCTCTTCTACAACCGTCCCAAAACATGTTTGATTCATCCAAGAAACTCCATATTCCTATAAAACTCACAAAAGCACATCGAATACACTAGAGAAGAGATTGTTAGCGAGAAATGGCTCTAAAGAGCCTAAAACCATGCAAGATTACGATGTAAAATCGAGATAAATCATGGTATAAAACGTGTACATCAGCAAACCAGCAATAAGTTCAAAGAATACAACACATTTGGAAATGTGTTAACCTTACCTTATAAAGTATTTGTTCGATTGTTTCATCTGCCAACTTCAGTTCAGATTCACATAGAATTGCGATCAACATTTTCCTCACCTGCAAAAATATAAATATCAACTCATATGAATATTATAACAAACATGCTAACATGCAAGGTATACAAGAAATTAAGGATGCAATCGAGAAGCTACAGTACAAGAATCAAAATCCATCTCCAATTATGCAAGATCAGACAAGTCAAACACTGGGACACATTCATTACCAATAATTTGGGTTCGTTCGGTTTCTGGTTGAAATTAAGGATCCAATATCTTTCAGTTACATATGTTGCATATTCGATTTCGGGTAGAACGGTCTTGTTCAAGACCTTAAATTCAGACATGTTTGTCAGAATTTGGGGTTGAATCAAGATTTGTATAAGCTCATAGTCAACATCTAATTGACACTGTAATAATGGCCTTAAAATCTTAGTGAATCTTTACTACACCTTAAGCAGAATAAAAAAACCTTATAAAGTAATACAACCTTGCAGGGGATTTCAGCATACACATGCATATGAAAACAAGGCAACTATTGAAAACAGGCGGTATTTTAGTTCGTTACTAAGATACCTCTATCAAATGATATTTGTAGTCCTAAACATGCAACTAAATGAGTATAGAGGAAAGTCAAGGGTCGAACACAGGGAAACGATTAAGCACCGCTATTTATCTCCTAATGTTAATCTAGTTCGATCAAGAAGTATAGTGGGTAAAGTAATGACTAAAGGGGGTAGAATAACAATTAAAACAAGCACTAGGGGGAAGGATCAAACATGCTATGAATTCAACGAAGTTAGGCATCGGAAAATAGGTTTACATGTAACCCAAGCAACTCATACAGGGCAAAATCAAGAATACTCTCTAATCACCTATCGGGATTAAGAGCTATCCTAGCTAACATACACTTACACTATCGTCATAAGGCATACAAACTAAGGTCATGCAATAATCAATCACCTAATGACTATTCCCAAATCACACTATCGTCATGATTTAGTTCAAGTCACTCAACCACAACATGCATATGGCCATAAACATGGAGTGGCCAATAAGTATAAGCACAAGGAATCACAAATATTCCAAATTAACCTAGCCTAACATACATCAAACTCAAAGCATGCCTTCACCAAACCCCTAGCAAAAGAAGAACTACTCACAATCCATACCCCTAACTACAATTATACTAATCAACATAGTAACTTAGGAATTAATGAGAAAGATGATAACTTTATCAACTAAACCAACAAAGATAGGAACTTTAAACATAAAAACAAGAGAATAAGTAGAAGAATACCAATAGCTTCATTGAATACTAAGTAGGAGGACAAAACCCATTCAAGTTCCAAAAAGCTTCTTCAAAAATACCCCAAAAATAACTAAGGTTTTTGGGAAATAGAAAATTCCACTAAGATCTATTGAGGATTTTCAATACCCCTTGGCTAAAAACTAGATCTAAGAGTTTTTACCCTAAAAACTTCTATTACAAGCCTTCTTTTCTCTTCTAAAGTATGCTGAATTTCTAAAATAAAAATTGCCCCTTTCTCTCTCCTCTTTGCTGCATAAATCTGATTTCGGATTGTCGCAGACAAGAGCGGCCGCGCCTAAAAGTAGCGCGCCCGCTCCAAATATGGGTATCATGGGATTGGGCCAGCTTAGCGCGCGCCCGTGCCTAGGGTTGCGCGCCCGTGCCAAAATGCTGGTGCAATGTCTTCAATCCTTGCTCTAGTTCCTTCCCAATCCGAACCACTACCGGCAATAATCTGCAATTACAAAATAGGAAGGCAAAGCGTAATACAACGAAGGGGGAGGGGAGTAAAGACTACCTAAACCATATAAAAATACATTACGCAACACATAGGTAGACTACTCAAATTTGGCAAAACATAACAAAAGCACACTAGAATGAACTAAATTATTACTAAAACTATTAGAAAAGACTACCCTAGGAGTGACATAAATGTCACTCATCAAATTCCCCCAAGCTAAACCTTTGCTCGTCCTCGAGCAAAGCTAAAGACAAAGAAGAATAAGACGCAATTATTCAAACATGAGAAAATAGAAAAGAAGGGAAAAGGGGTATACACTAACTCACTTTTGTAGGAATCACAGTTGTTTTTAGCGTAAACAACAAGCCATTTAAACCTCAAAGTCGCCAATGAGGACAAGTATGCTCTCGTGGGGGTTTCCAAAGAGTTTAACCCACAAATCTTGGCAACATGCTCAAAACAAACCCAAAACAAAGGAGCAAATAAAGAAGAAAATCAACTACAAACACGGAACAAAACATGGAAATGAAGAACATATTGAAAACACAAGCATGGATGGATGACAATTTTTCTAAGCAATGAGAGTAAACACACTTTTAGATGCCAATGGTTGATTGAAAGATAAGCTATGCTAAGCATAAAGAACTCTAACATGCTCCACTCCCCCCGCATTCCAAACATTCTTACTGCTTTCCCTCATCTAGATTCAAATCCACTCTACTAGGTAGCATCTCATGACTCCACGAAGGAGCTGGAACAAAGATAAGACAATAAAATCAAGGGGAACCCGACATCTTACCAAGTCATGTTCTCTCCATATGCTTGAAATATAGCCCCCTCCACCGACTAGTGACTCAACTAATCCAAGTCAAAAGGACTTTAAAAGGGGTTGTAATGTAGGCTAGGAGGTAAAGGTGAGGAAAAATATGAAAATTTGGTGGTAAATCCTAATTGTGAAGCAAAGAATGGCGCCAATTCTCAAAAACAACGTAGAATATCACCAATTTGCAAACAAAAATACATCTCCCCCAAGCTTATTCAAAACAAACTCACAAAACTATAAATAAAATGCGTAGAACCTCTCCCCCAAGATTGATTTGAGCATTGTCCTAAATGCATAAACTAGGGAGGACACCATAACAAAATCTTTTTGCAAATTTTCAATTTTTTTTTGTTTTTTTGTTTTTTTTAGCTCATGCTTTACTTTGTCCTTGCCTTTTATAACTATGGACGACTTTTTCTTAAATTCACATTTGCTTTTATTAAACATCAAAAATATCGAAAACACAA